TAGCGTGCAACACTACACAAATTAAGAATATATGTATGTAAAAGAGCAATATACATTTTAAACGTTTTATTAAATATGTACACACAATGCTGGTCATGATGGTGAGCACTTGTAATCCGAGTACTAGGGAGCCTGAGGCAGGAGAATTGGGTGTGAGTTCAAGGCCAGCCTGAGCTACACAGCAAGACTTTATCTAAAAAAAAAAAAAAAATGTACACACAAAAGGTATATATTAAGCACACTGGGGTTTTTCCTGAGGGTGGAGAGAGGGGAAGACAATAAACTATGGGGTGTAGAAAGGACAAACAAAGAATTAAACTGAAAGAGCCTTTCCTTGGACAAATGGTTATGACACCACGAACTATGGGGCACGCTAATATAAATTCTCTATATCTGAGGTAGAGAATAAGTGAAAAATTATCACAGAACAGTACAATCGGAGACTAGAGGGACAATCGAGAAAAACCACACAAAATGGAAAAGAACAAAGGAATAAACTGATTATGGAGATGAAGATAAAGAAGATATGACAAGAAAGAGATGCATAATTGGAATTTCTGAAAAAGTTGAATAAGTAGTATTAAATGATACAGTAAATGAAAAAGTTCTTAAAAAATACTCAAATCTACTTCTCTGGAGTCCTGACATATCCCAGCAAAGGTGTTTCAGAATATTAATCAAGCTTACACTGGTAAAACTATAGATAGAACTTCAAGGATGAAGAAGCTTACAGGCGCAAAAAGTTATTTTCTCAAGAAACAGATACAGGCCCCATGCTAGTCCACCAATTCTGAAAGCATCTTCTGAGTCATAAAGAAAGTAATTACATGCCTAACCACTGCTAGAGAGTTGTAACCATAGACAAATATTCTCAAGAGTTTATGAAACCAGGGAGCTCATCGATAGCCATAGTTACTAGGTTTAAATACTTGATCTTTTTAAGTACAGAATGTTTGTCTCAACATGTTTTGTTTAAGACAGGGGCTTGCTATGTAGTTCAGGCTAGCCTTGAAGTCACTATGTAACCCAGGCTGGCCTTGAACTTGTGGTGATCCTCCTGCCTCAGCTTCCTGAGTGCTGTGATTACAGGCATGCACAACCACCCTTGGTTTAACAATTGTAGGAATTGTAGATTACAGAATATAATTTAAGTGTTATAAAGCTTGATAACAGGAATAGTAGAATAGCTAAAAACTATGCCTCAGTTTTCTCATTTGTGAAATAGGGATAATAAAAGTCTATTTACCTTATAGCATTGCTGGGAGATTAAATAAACTAATTTATATAGTATTTAAAATATTGCCGGGCATGGTGGCACACAACTGTAATCCCAGTACTTGGGACACTGAGGCAGGAGGACTGCTGTGAGTTAGAGACCAGTTTGGGCTACATAGTGAGCTCCAGGTCAGTCTCCACTACATAGTGAGACCCTGTCTCAACGCCCCCCAACAAAGGAATATTATCCAGCAATTGGTAAAGACTGAATAAATGTTTTTGATGATTATTAGATGATGAATAACAGTAACTAAAGAATTATCAGTTTCTTTAATGTTTCCCTACAAACTTTCTCAATTTTGGAGCACTCTTACAGGAGCTATTTATTATTTAATCTGTTGCTACTTATATCTTGATAATATGTTTTCAGCAGCTGGTACATTGTTAAGGACTTTTAAAAATGATCATATTACCCTCTAAATTAGACAACTTATATAAAATATTTATATTTTATATAGAATTATAAAAAGAGGAAAATACATAAACCTAAAACTAAGGAAAGAATCCACTAAAAGGTAAATGATCAGTCAGGCATTGTGGTGCATTCCAGTAATCCCAGTACTCAGGGAGCTGGGGCACGAGGGCTGCTGCAAGTTCAAGATCAGCCTGTGCTACATAAAGAATTCAGGCCAGCCTAGAATGCATACAGAGAGCCTGCCTCAAGAAGAAATAATAATGATAATGATAAAAACGGGAAATAGTGGACTTGGCATGAGTTCAAGGACTGTAATGTGGGAAAGCACTAAGGGGAAGGATATGGAATTGTGCACTCCACACACCTCACTTGGGCCAAGTGGAAATGGGCTAAGCTTGTTTTATTATTGTGAGAAAGAAAGTACAGAAGCCTTCCAAGAAGTGTACCTGCTTAAATACAATACTTACATGTGTCCGATAACTTTAAATTTACTTAGAAAACTTAAACTTTAAAAAGTTGTCCAATGAGTCTACATAGCTATAACACCAGTCAACTTCATTCCTGACCTAAGAAGATATTTTTTATAATACTACTACCTTTATAATATGAACTATCTTAATTGTTGTTACTCAATGCCTTACTTATTACCTTAATTACAGTTGAAATATTTGCTAAAAAGAGAATCTCTAAGGGCCAGGGATTTAGTTCAGGGGTTCCGCCGCCTGCCTCACAAGCGCCAGGTCCAGAGTTTGATCCCTGGTACAAAAAACAGAGAATCTCTAGTGGATTTCTAGAAAAATGCAGTATTATAGTCTAGCCTAGATCCTTTAGCACACGAGATGGACTAGAATTAAATAGCAAAAAGAAACAGGCATGGTGGTGCCTGCCTGTAATCCTAGCACTGTGGGAGACTGAGGCAGGAAGATGACAAGTTTGAGTCCATCTTGGGCAAGCTAGTGACTTAAGGGAAACCCTGTCTCAAAAAATTTTTTTTAGGGCTGGGGATTTGGCTCAGTGGTTCTGCCACCTGCCTTGCAAGTTAAGGGCCTGAGTTTGATTCCCAGTACAAAAAAAAAAAAAAAAAAAAAGTGTCAAAAATTTTTGTAAAGGTAAAAATAAAAAAGGGCTGGGAATGTAGCTCAGTCTGAAGGTCAAACAAACGAACCCACAGAGAAAGTAGGGAACAATGCAGGTGAATATTTCACTGATCTTGATTTAGGAAAGGATTTTATAGGCATCAAAGTAAAAAGAATAAACTAGAAAGGGAACTGTTGATAGATTTTTACTGGATAAGGCTTCTGTCCATCAGAGCCTCATAAACAAAATTAAAAGAGAAATAACTGGGGAAAGTTAAAAAGAAGCTTCACAGTATTTTTTTTTTTTTTCCGCACCAGGGATCAAACTCAGGACCTTGCGCTTGTGAGGCAGGTGGTAGAACCACTGAGCTAAATCCTTAGCCCAGCGTTACAGTCTTAATACATGAAGATTTCATACAAATCAAGAAAAGATTCTAACATGGAATCCTGACTTATGGTTGGTGTCAATCCTAGACTAAAGTTAGCTCCTTTGAGCCTTCATTTCTACAAAGGCTTCCTAGTTTGTCTTTCTGCCTCTGGTTTTCTTTCTCCAAAGCATCTCTCACTCTCTTCAGAGACACTTTTCTAAGATGCAAGTTTTGAAACTTGGAGCAGTTCCCTGTCACCTAGATGAGTAAGGTAAACTTCCTTAGCCTGGCACTGAAGGCTCTTCTCACCTTTCCAGCCTCTTACTTGGCCTGCCACCTCTGTGCCAATCTGTGTGCCCTGCCTGTCTGTGTCATCTTCTGGTGCAGCTCCTGCCCTTCATCACCCACCCTACAAGCAACCTCTCTGCTCAGTCCCATTGCTTCCCTAACCCCGACCCCACCAAGCTCACTGACACCAGCTGCTCCTCCTCTGCCCCTCTTCAGCACTCACTCTCATTGCAAAACGTTGTTAGCCTTTGCCAAATGCAAATGTTTTGATTTTAATTAATTTATTTAAATTATAGCTAGCACCTTGATGTCTGTTTCTGGCCTCCACCCCATTCTATGGAAGAAATTCTGTATTCAACTTTACATTCCTAGAATAGCACATGGAAGACACTCAGTAGGTGTTGTCAAATGAGGAAACATAATTAAGTTGAAGGAGTTATAGTTTTAGTGAAGACCAATTATCAAACTTTTTGTTTTTTGAGACAGGTTCTCACTATGTAGTTCAGGCTGGCTTTGAACTCAGTATGTAGCTCAGGCTGGCTTCGAACTTGCAGTGGTCCTCCTGCCTCAGCCTCCCGAGTGCTGGGATTACAGGCCTGTGCCACCGTGCTCAGCAAATTACCAACATTTTTTTAAAATTTAGTTTTAAAAATACAACCTTCAAATATACAACTTTGCAAACATATATAAGTAGGAATTTTATAGAGGCTGCTACAATGAATAAAGATTAGTTACACATTAATAATGTCTTTAGTTGTTTGTTTATTTTGGCTTTTTGAGACAGGGTCTCACTACCTAGTTGAGACTGACCTGGAACTCACTATGTGCCCCAGGCTGGTCTTGAACTCAGCAATCCTCCTGCCTCAGCCTCCTGAGTGCTGGGATTGTAAATATGTGCCACCATGCTCGGCTGAATAATGTCATTAGTTTTTATGAGAGTAAAATCTACATGCCTTCTAAAGTTTGTTTGAGAGTATTATTTTCTCTAGCAAAACTTAGGCTCATAAACTGTGAGAATTATACTTATTCTGAATTAATAAAAACAAATGAAAGAAATGGTGTTGGTACCACTGCTGGGTTAGAAACATACTGAATAGAACAAAAAACTAGCATTCCTTTCCATTTCGTTTGCTCAACTTTATTGCTGTTCTTTCCACTGAGCCAGACCTCCCATTTCAGTACCTCTAATCTTAGCGCTATTACTTGGAACACTTCTGTTTCAGTGATTCGTTTAAAGAACGTTCCAGTTCTGTTCACAGGTGCCGTTCTCACCTGTGTCCGTCATTTGCTGAGTATGGGAGCTATTGTCTGGGACTGTGCCAACTGCATGTCACTATTTCTTCCCTCAAGAAGAAAATGGTCCAGTTGCAGAAAAAAGAGGTAAATATGCAGAAAATAACTCAAGGCAATCCAGTGGTAAGTATCAAATTTTGTGGTATACCAGTTACGTGCCATAAAAGTTGAAAGGAGGTGAGGGAAGGCCTTATCAGAAGACACTTGACAGGAGCTCAGAAGTTTAGGGACTATTTGGACTATTGGAAAGAAGGGGAAGCCATTCTGTCTGGAAAAATATCCTACCTGAGATTTTTTCCATCTCTTCCAATAGCTTTTCCAAGTCCTTATTCAGGTCTGACAGCATTCTCAGCATGTTGTCATAGTTTCTTTCCCCAGGGTCAGAATCAGCCATCTATGTGGTGCACAGAAAGACCTTCCATGAAACATGCTGGCATTTTAACATCAGCTCCATAGGGCACACCTGAGTGATCCTTCAAAAAATTCTCTCCTCACGTCTTAGATTTGGACAATACCTCTTACTTTATATGGCTATTATAAAGGTTAAATAAGAACGCATAAAGATAGATGGCCCAAGGTAGTATTTTATACACAGTAGTTGTGCCTCCCTTTCTGACCCTTGATATACAAACACCTCTTCAAACACAGTTGAGGGATGAAACTATTAAAGCAGAAGAAACTTTCATTGTTCAAAAGTGAAAAAAAAAATCTTTACCATGATGGCGACACAATAGTACATTTACTTTGGCAAAATGTATTGAGTATCTACTAAGACTGTTGTACTGATTTGTCACAAAGATACAGTCATTGCATCTAAAAGATTTCCAGTGTAACATGGGAATAAGTCATACACTGAACAAATGAAAAACCAGAATATTATAGATGTCATGGGAGAATACATGTACAGTATTAATATAATACATGTATGATGGCACAAGAACCTGGAGTGGGACTAGTTTAACTTTAAAAATATGAAACGATTCTCAAATTTGCATATTTTTAAAAAGTTATTATCAATTTAACTTTCCAGAAGGGCTCTCTTAAGCATTAGAGGTAATGTCATAAGGAGACTGAGCCTTAGCTCTGGAGAGGGACTGCACGGACTCAAATCTTGCCTCCCGCCTCCTACATACTAGCTGTGTTACCTTAGTTGACTAACTTGTCTTGTAGTACTGGGGATTGAAGCCAGGGCTTTATACATGCTAGGCAAGTTTCCTGCCACTGAACTACATCCTCAGCCCTTCACATATTTTCAACAATATAGTTTTCGTATGTGTAAAAAAAATTGCTAATGTACCTATGTTTTATAGAATAGGGTTTCTGTGAAGATTAAATAATATAAATCATATACTGCTCAACACAATATCTACCATAATAAATATTCAATAAGTCATACCCATTGTTATTTAAAATACTGAACTCTAATTAAATCCCTCTAGATCTTCTCTGGTCTTTACTAATACACATTCATTAACTCCACTAATATTCGATGCTCACGTATTTATCTATAACTTGCTGCTATGATGAAAGAAAAATAGATTAATAAAGCTCTTGGAGCTGTCAGAGAATTTATAACCTCATAAAGATGAAGGAAAGAACCAGCTGACCATAAAATAAGGAGGGATGGGCCCCAGATAGGGTATTTGTCCTCACTGTCATGTGGTTATATGGGGAAGGCTCCCTGGCCTTGCTGCAGTTAGAGGCCTCCACTGGGATCTCCTGTGGCTGCCGGTTGTCTCCCATCATGGCATCTCAGATGGCGGTGTGACTGTGGACCCCTCTACTTTCTCAACTAGACTGAGGTCCCTGAAGAACTGGGGATGTCTTTCCAAAGAACTAATCCCAGCTCAGAGCTAGGAGTTAGCTATTGAGCTGTCGAGCAAGCACTCGATACTGTTGGCTGAATAAAGAAAGGAATGAGTGACTCCTGTCACAGCTTCGGGCCTTACTCCTCCTGCTGTCTTTCCTGTTAAGGGTGAAGGTTATGAGGAGGAGGGCACCTCTTTGGAGATCCGAGAGGCAGATCTGATGACTTAAGGTGCAGAGAGGGGTGAGATTTTGAGATCTGTAAACGAAAGTGGTATTTCTGTGGGTATGAAGCCATTCTTCATTGGAGGCCTCTATTCTTCCTGGCCTTACTTTTTTTGTAACTTGGAATAGTTTTCTAAGAGCAAGTTTTGTGTACAGGCAGCAGGAAGGACAGGGGGCAGAGAGTCTGAAAGAAATGTCTGGAACAGCTGGCTTGACCCTCTGTCCTGTGGCTACTTCCTCCCTTTCCTTTCTCATCCAGGCCTCACATAACACCCTACAGTTCCTAATCCTCACTTATCTGTCATCTCTTTTCACTTCTCACTGAAACTCCTCTCCCCAGAGCCATAACTGGAACCTGGGGTACCTTTTGTCCTTGTGCTTAACCTCTCTGTAGCATATGGCAGTTGGCTATTTTCTTCTAGTGTTTTAGTCCTGTTCTGTCCAAGCTCTGACCACCTCTCTGTGGATCCTTCTCTTTCACAGCCGCTCCTCTGTCGGCTCTAAAGTGTCAGAGATGATCCTCTCAGCTCTTTTTCTCTGTGTGGCAATGTTGTCTTTGCCATAGCACCACCATTCTGTCTGTGCTGAGAATTCATATCTAGGTCTGCACATCCACCTGCCTTCTACACTCTTCCTTTGAGATCCCTTAAGCATTTCAAACTCAACAACCTAAGATAAATTATTCTCCACTGCCTCCTGCAAATCTGCTCATCCTACTCCAGTCTATAACCCAATGGATCACACCAATATTCACACAGTAGCCTGACCCAGAAATACAATGTCCCATTCCTCTTTTATCTTCCATATCTATGGGGTCACTGAAATGCACCAACTTTACCTCTTCATGGAACAAGCATTTATTTATCTGTGGGTAAGAAAGTCCAGTATTTGGGTGGCATTTATTAATAAAATTCTGCCCCTGTGGAGTTCACAATCAGGCCCACTTGTTTAAAGTCTTTCTTGTCAGCATCTCCCTTCCTCTCTCCAAGGTTACAGCTTTAATTGCAGTCCACTTTATCATCCATCATTGATTATACATTTACTGAACATCTACTGTGTGCTCTGAAGATACTGCTGGCCAGACAAAACCCGTGCTTTCACAGACCCTTTATGCCAGTGGAAAAGACAGATAATCAACAGGTACATTCATAAAGATACATTCAGTTTGTGGTAATTGTTACAAAGAAAATATAACTAGGTATGATAAGGGAACTCTTTCATGTGGGAAGTTTACCTTGTAAAACCAGGGACTCCTTTCTAATGAAGGGACTTCTTTTTAATGGAATATCGAACTCAAACCTTGTGCATGTTAGGCAAGCATTCTGCCTCTGATCCACTTCATTAGTCCCATGAAATAGCATTTGAACTGATTATGATAGAACTTTTGTAAATAGTCTGAAGTGAAGAAGTTAAGATGAAAGGAATGTCACCAGTCCTGCTTTCCTAACTCTGACCCCCACTCTTGTGGGCTTCCACAGCTGAAGATAAACATCCTGAAAGAAAGTGCTACATTTGGGTTACTGTCTTGTGACCATGATTTGTGATGGGAACTGTGGGAACTAGAATCTTATCACCTAAAATGAGTGATTTTGAAACTCCTATAAAAGGCAGATTATAACCAGTCCAGGCTCGGTCATTTGGCACAGCTCTTGGTGCAGGCCAATCCTTTGCTAGCAAAGTATGTTTTTGTTTTACTCACTCTTGCATCTCTGTGTGTCATTACCAGTTCCTTCCATAATTATGACAAAAATGTTGATCATGTGAAGATCTAGGGGAAAGAATCTAGGCAAAGGAAATGGCTAAAGAAAAGGTAGAAGTAGCCCTGTGATGTTTTGAGAACAAAGAAAGCAGAGAAAGATGCCCAGGAGAAAAGTAGTATGAAGAGAGACTGCTAAGTAGGTGCAGACAACTCATTGAAGTAATTTTAACCAAACATCTGGGGGAAATAGGGAAGAACTATGGGCAAAGACCCTGAGCAGCCTAGAGCGCTGGAATTGCAGGCATGCACCACCATGCCCAGCTGAATAGTCGGTATTTTATTCATTTGTATATTTAAGAAAATTTGGCCTATTAGAGCAACAGGTCAGTTTTGCCATTCTGGTACCTATAATCCCGGCACTCTGGGAGGATGACACAAGGATCACAAGTTTGAGTCTAGCCTGGGTAATTTAGGAACTTAGCAAGACTCTGTCTCAGCATGAAAAAGGGCTGGAGATGTAGTTCAGTGTGAAGGTGCTGGGTTCAGCTCCCAGTACTGCTCCCTTCAAGTGTAATTGCTTATGGGTTGTAATTTTAAGCCAAAATATTTATATATAGTTTTAGGACATTTATTTAAGAAAACTCAAGGTTCACATATTTATGAGTTGGACATGATTATTTTTTTTGTGGTGCTGGGAATTGAAGCCAGGGCCTTTGCATATGCTAGGCAAGTGTTCTATTATGAAACTATATCCTCAGTCCTTGATATAATATTTATAAGAATTATCTAAAAAAGTGGAAAGGTCTATAAAATGGAATACTACTCAGCCATACAGAATGAGAAAGTAGATTCATTCATAGGTAGTAAATGGGTACATTTTGAGGATATACTCCTAAGTGAAATACATAAGTCACACATATGCAAATACCGAATAGTTTCTCTGGTGTGAAAAATTAAAAAAGTACTCAAGATCCTAACGGGACAATTAGCAATGTGAAATAGGAAGAAAAAGACCAAAGGTGTAGGGACAGTGAGAAGGACAGGGAAAGGGGAATAAGGGAAAAGGAAAAAAATATGAGAAAATGTAAAAATGGAATTAAAGTGTTTGAAGGCGGGGAGGGGAGGAGGGGGTGAAGGGAGGGGGGGGACAAGGGGAAAAAAATGAGAAACAAGACCTGTCATGTAAAGGTACAAGATCCCAGTAATGAATGTAACTGTACTGTCTACCTAGAATGTACCAATAAATTCAATTTAAAATTTACAAAAAAAGTGGAAAGGTCTTATTGTTTAACAGTTGAAATAAAGAAATCTGGGTACAGTGGTTCACATCTGTAATTCTAGCTACTCAGGAGGCTAAGGCAAGCCCAGCCTGGGCAACTTACTGAGTTCCTATCTCAAAATTTAAAAAAAGGGTTGGGGATATAGCACAGTGGTAAACACACACACACACACACACACACACACACACACACACACACACCTTGCTATGTTTCCTAAGATGATCTGAAACTTCTGTGCTCAAGTGAGCCCAGACTCCCAAGCAGCTGAGGCAACAGGGATGTACCACTATACCTGGCTTAAGAAATAGAATATATTAAGCTTATAATTAAATGAATTTGTTTGTAATTGGAACCAACACCCCCCTTTTTTTGGTACTGGGGATT